TACTGATCCATCCAACTTCAAATCTCTGATCAAAACCCAACTTTTTAGAAGTGCTTTTAATGATTAATTCCTTGTTGAGTGTTGTAGACATAGCCATAATTACTTAGTGTGTTGTTTTTATTACCTTTTTCTTTTCCTTTTAACTTATGTAAGGTGTCTTTGAGTTTCTTGAAAAGCGCTTTATAAATTAAATGTATTATTATTATTATTATTACTATAGAATTAAATAAATAAATACAGATGCTTGGTGAGACCTTACTAGGTTGAAATCCTTACGGCCAGATAGTTACTCCTGGGAAGTAGAACAAGTGAGAGCCACTTCACCTCGAGGTCCCCTGAGTCCTGTCTACAATAAATGATTAGCAAAGGAAGAGAGAAAGAACACTGCTGAATTTCAAAGAGAAGTGTTTGAGGTTTTTGAAAGATCACCTCTGCTAAACTTTCGACGTCGTGTTTCCATCAACCTATTGACCGGAGATCACTTTCTAACCTCTCTCCCTCCCCATGCAGCCTCACCACATTGCTCCAGGCCATGGCATTTATGAATTATTTAAAAACAGTTGCATTGCACATGAAATTAATATTCGGACATTTTCTATTATCTGCTGACAGCTTAGTCTCTCTCTCTCCCTACTATCTGTTATTTTGGTAATGATCTGTATTCCTGTGGCATTAGGTTGGTCAGAGCTTGTACCCATTGATGCAACGTGCCAGGCATGCTGAGTGAGGTTAGACTGGGCTGCTCTGTTTCTCCTTACTCCTGCACTGGTTTACTGGCAGGTGATTTTTCTCTCTTTCCACTGCACATTGCTTAGGCTTGCCCAAGCCAGTTCCCACTACCTTCAAAGTAACATCTGTTTTCTTCATGGCTCAGTATTCTGAAATGCTGCTTTTACAGTCGTCCTAACTGGTTTGGTTATTTGATATTTGCATTGCCGGCTCCAGCCCATTAAACGTTTAAAAGCAAGGCACAGCTTGGCAGTGAGCACAGTTCACTGACTCAATAAATTATGCATCAAAAAACATCTCTTGGAATTGCACTTGCTGTATTGCAGTGAAATCAGTGTGTCCTATGAATTTCAAACAGAATGGCTCCCCCTAGTGCCAAAGTCTAACTGGATAATAATTTCAGTCATTAAAATCACTAGCTTTTTCTTTCTTTTCAAATGCAATAAAGCCGAACCTTTTCACACACCTGCAATGACTAACTCAGAGTTTATTCACAGTAATACACTTTCTGATTCTGCTATATAGCCCAAACTCAACAGTGAACAGTTAGCTGTGAGTAAATTTGGAGATGTGGGGGTACTCTTAGACCCCTCAAGAATCGAAGAATACATTTAAAAATACAAAATTGACCATATTGTGGAATACTTCCCATTTAACCTCACACTATGTGCTATCGTGCCCACTTAACACACCCCAGCTTCACACATAATGAATTATTCAAGCTTGATGCGGTTCTGTCCATGCACTGTGCCCTGAGGGCTACATACAGCCTCTTTTGGAAATGACTACAGCGTCGGTGTGGGAAGAGTGAAAAGTGTTTGTCACCTCAAATTTTCAAGACAGGCACAAAGTGATGCACAAAGAGAGACACCACATTTACTCATATGGTATTTCTATATTGTTTATGTATTTGTCAGCGTTGGTTAGTCTGCAGAGGAAGATTGTCAGCAGTGTTTTATTAATAAAAGTGGCTATATTTTGACATTTTTGTGCAAACCATTTCTCCTTTTCAGTTACTCAGCACACATAAACTTTAGGCTCCACTGTTTCATGAAACTCACAGATGCGATGCCAAATCTATCTTTCTATCTTTCTCTTTTACCCCATGATGAAGGATTGTGTGGGTGGCTTAAGTAAGGAGCTGTCTGTTCTTTGTTTAGTCAATATTTCAACCTTTCCTGCTGCCATAGGCTACTGCCCGCTGAAGTGATTCAGCAGATACTATTTCTATGTGATTTTTTGTACATGGTAATATGTTTTCTATCTGGAACTTTCATGTTTGTCTGATGTTCCTGTCTTGGCAGGATGTGCAGAAAAATCTTCCTTTGGCAAACTATATAAAGATTGAAAAAAATTACAGAATGTGTTTTTTTAGTCCACCCACATCTTGGGAGTGCTTGTGGATCAAGGGGCTTCGCCAAATAAAATATGATGTAAACTGACAACTACATGATAGAAATCAGCTTTATTAATTACCCAGATTTAAAAAGGCTGAGGATCAGTGTGTAGGTGTACGTGTGCGTTCGAGGAGGCAACCTCCTAACAGTCGAACACGAGGTGCATGAAAAATGAAAGTCAGCTTTGAATTCTGCGAGCCTGTATTCTGATGTTTGTCAGGTCTGAGCTGGCAAGAACACTGTTGACAGTTGGGCCGTGGGAATGGCAGCAACGAGGCTGCATCTGTGAGATTTTCCATTTTTCTTAGAAAGAATGAACTATTTCTGTCCTGTCAAACAAAATGCGGAGCGGCTGAATGAAGTAAAAGCCAGAAAAGATAATTAACTGCAATGATTTAATCCCAGCTCTGAGTTAAGCCAAGGTTTTGATAAGTGTTCATTAGGATATTAGACAGCAGGGCAGTTTAGTGGGAATGGTGGTTATCAGATGCTGTCCTGTATTTGACCTTTAATCTCTTTGTAGAGAGGTGAAACTGAAAACACAAGATTTAAAGGGCTGTATCAATTCAAATGTGCTTTATTGGCAAAAAATAAGTTATGTTTTCAAGTTGTAAATCAGTGTACATTCAGAAAATATACACAAAGTACATTCACATTTACATACACCCATTCAAATAACTTAAATAATAATGCATTCTAAAACAATACCAAAAGACTACTATTCCTAATAAACATACTCAAATCCAGATTGGCCATGTGCCTGCCTTTTACTGCACAGGAAGTGTATGTGTCACTGATACACATTGTCCCACACAGTTGAGCAAATGTACCATTTCCCACTGAAATGCACCAGTGATTATTACCAGTGACACTAACTGGCCCTATTTTCAGGACAAAGGGCTAAAATAAACAGTTATGTATATATATATGTTCTTCTGGCATCTCTTCAGAACTGAAGTGTCAAGTCACTCTGCAAATTGGTAGAACTACTTTGGAGTGCAGGAATTAACTTTTCAACTTTAGACTAATTGACCATAAACATCATCTTTAAAGTTTATAACTATATTGTTGAGCTCAGAGAATTGATACAATGCATTCATTCCTGTGATCTGATGTTTTCAGCAATTGCCACTAACGGCAGTAGGTGTGAATAACTGTGGCTTACAAGCTGGAATTGATTCTGTCTTGAAATGTTTGTCTGGGAAAAATCCATAATCCTCATACTTCTTTAAATAAAGCAACAAGACTAAAGCAGTGGCGTGTTTGTAAAAACCTCTTTTAAATCACTTTTGTTCTCAGTTTCACCCCCTTGCATTGATGAACAAATAGTTGCATTTGCCTTCATTGACACTCTGCCAAAAGAAGAAAAGTGTAAGCAAACTTTCACTTTGTAGCATTTATGGACAGTTGACCACATTGGCAATGATCACAGAACACGAGAACTTGAGAACACAGGTTTTTACTTTCGATTGCATTTTATTCAACACTGTGTCCATTCCTTGTGTAATGCTAATTGATATTGTTTGTGTAACTGCCTTAGTGCAGAGGTAGTGGTTGCTTCCTGCATGGGGTAAAGTTTCAAAAATAATGTCAACATCTGTTAAAAACAGAAAAGGCACATAAGAAGCCCCTAGCAAAGACGTTTAAAATTTCATACTAGTGAAACAACACATTTAAGAAATGGGCATTATATAATAACAGCATAACTTCATCAGGAGGCAATCTGCTGCAGTGTTCATGGCATCAGAGATGCATACAATGACAGGATCAGCTGCATCACAGCATTTTTTTGTGATTATTGTATCACAGAAGTCAATAATTAAGATCCCAGAGGAACATTATCACAGCCATCTATTCTATAAAGTATTTAAATATTGCACAGACAGTTGTGGAAGACCCTTTACTTGAGTAAATGTAGCAATACCAAAATGGAAACAGTATGTTACAAGTAAAAGTAACAGTTTGCTTGAATAAAAGTACAGCTGTACCAGTGTTATCAGCAACATGTTGATTAAGTATGTATCTAAAGTATTAAAACAGTGCCTTTAGGTCACCACTGATCACACAGGCATATTTCCCCTTCTTTCTTTCTTTCTTTCTTTCTTTCTATAATGTCATAAATGTCTATAATCACTCGGATACACATCCCAACCACTGTCTGTTTAAATACTACAGCTACATCTTACAAACAGGCACTATTTCAGCTTATTTGAACGCCTGATGATGTTTTGAGTGATGTTGAGGCTTTTATTAAAGATCATAAGATCATTTGCTTGCTTCTTTTTTGTTTTTACCAAAATAAGACGCATAGTGGCCACATTTCTGTTTACTGCGTCACGAGTGAACACACGCGACACTTGTTCCTATTCCCGGATTGGTCAGCGATACCGGGAAACCTCCTCGTGATATGTCAGCCGGTATAAATACTCGGAGCCGCCCTCTTCTCACGCAGCCCTGTTTTATGAGGGAAAATGTATCGTCTCGGCCAACAGACTATCTCCAAGATCGCTTTCAATTCCTTTTTATCTACTGTGCCACGGGAATATTTTCATTTTACGAGACAATACAATAAAAGCTGGTCGTGTATTGGCTGATTTTTGATCAAATTATACATTCGTTTGCGCGAAAATGCCAAGGACCAAGAAGAAGAATAGCAGGGGTAAGTGAGCCAGCGGCCGCATTGCTTTGGCCTTGCTTACCTGACGTCTGTGTGCTCACGGTAGTTGTAGTTCTTTTCGTGTTGTCGGTCCATTGAGTGGAGTTGAACGTGTTTACAGGAAGGACTACAAACGTCAGAGGCCGGCCTACGTCAAAACACAAAGCTAACTAACTAGCAGTGGTCACACAAAGCATCGCTGTTACTGACAACGTGCCATCATACGACTTCCATGCTTTTGCTAACAGTTGGTTAATGGTTCATAAACTAGTTTATATTTCACGCCAACCTTGTTGATATGTGTCGGAGTTTACAAGCTAACGCCAGCTAGCGTTGACTCCCCACTAGCTTTGGTTGCCAGGCAAAGTTTAGTTAAATAAAAATACCGTATGACAACTTGACAGCTTTTATCGTGGCTAATGTCTCGATACACGAACAAATAATGTGTTGCAGGTCTTCATAACAGACTTATTAGCTCTTACTGTGTAAAGTGGGGTCATCCCGTGTGCACATTGCCCTCAATTAATCTGCAGCCCAATTTGGGGCAACTAGTATTCCGTCAGACTAACATTAGCTGACTTTAAACTGTTATGCAAGGCAGATAATCTCTGTGTGTAATGTTAATTTTATTGGGTTGTTATTGTTCAGCGACAGAAGGCGGACATTTTGGACTCCAGAGAGCGGGCTGGAAAAGAGGCGGCGCCCCGGTTCTCAGAAATCAGCTGTAGTGTGGGGAGAGTCCACGTCAACACAACCACACAGGAGTAGCATTTAGAAGATAAAATGGCTTTCAGCTGACAGGGCTTCCTATAGTGTTTGTCACGGCTTGAGGTGATCAAACGCATGCATTATTTGGCTGGGAGTAACCTACAGCGTGTACTTAAACTGATAAACTCACCAACATGTCCTCAAGAGGTGAATTCAGGTCAGACCCAGTTGAGTCAGAGTCTGGTTACACAGCCATTGAGGAATGTCATTTTCTACACATTATGTAGTTTTTATTGGAAGTTCCCCATAACTAATGCAACCAAAGCTTTTCAGTTTAGCGAAATGAACAGACTTGAGATTTTCACACCTTTTTTTTTCTTTTTCTTTTCAGCTCTGAATTGTCACAACTCACCCACATTCTTGTTTGCAGATAGACCTTTTTAAATGTGATGCCTAGACTGGCAAGCACTCTGGACTTTTATATTGTGGCCTACACTTGGGTTGGAAAGAGACATTTGCTTCCTCCTTCCCCTTCCGTGACGCGTGGTTGCTCGTATGCATTTCTTGTGAGCTGGTGGTTTTGCAGCTGAAGGTAATCGCCGTGGCAGACTGTCAGAGCTTCCGGCCCGTCACCGGAGCTCGCTTGCGTTGACCCGCGTCCCTCCAACCTGAACGTCATGTTGTGTTTACACAGTCGGGAGAAGTGTGGGGTGCCCTTGACCCTGACGGCGCTGTGCATTTTCACGTGAAAGTACAGCTGGATAAGGCGCGCAAGGGACACGAAACAGATTAGATAACCGCAGTATTTGCCACAGTACCTGCGTGGAGCCGGAGTTACATAATAAACTCACACAGACCTGCTGCACTGTACTAATGCCACTAATCTTTTTCTCCAGGAGGGCAGCATGGACATGTGCAGCCTTTCAGTGATGAGGATGCCTCCATTGAGACCCTCAGTCATTGCAGCAGCTTCAGTGACACCACCAGTGTCGCAGATGAAGGTGAGTTTCTGCACCAGCGCGTGCAACCGTTTGTGTTCGGCGTGCTCCGTCTTTGTCTCAACATGTCAGTGTGAGTGGTGACTGTGCTGTCAGTGGGCGTCAGCATCATGAGTTAGTGTTTGCAGGTTGTGTACGCTCCATGTTGTATTGCGTCCAGTCGTTCTTATCAGTACTGAAAGCCATGTCAGGCAAGTGTCCATTTACTGTATTTTGGTACGTTGCCAGGTGGAGAGGCCAGTGAGGACACAGCCCAGGAGGATTTCCAGTACAAGCTGAAGGGGTTCATAGACAGCACTGTGGATAAGAGGTAAAAGGTCCCGCCTGGTGATTTCCACTGTCTGCATTCACATGTTATCTGATCTTGGCGCGCAGGCTGTAACGTGCGTGTCTGTGCAGAGTTTAATTTTTAGGAGATACTGAAAATAAAGTTACTTTATCTAAAAAGAATGCAACGATTGTTAAGGAGGAGGAAAACATTTTAGGTTTTCTTTGGTGATTTGGAGAGGAAATTAGTAATTTAACAAAAATTCACGTACAGTGTTGTGTCTCCAGCTACATGTGTTTTTAAGTAGGTGTAACTAAAACAATTTAAAAGGCTTATTTATGGTATTGATTGCCTGAGTTTGGAGTGCCATTGTCAATCACAGGAGAAGGGTGTCATTGAGGTTTGCAGCCCAGTCAAGTTAAAAATAGTCTTCATCCCCAATAAGGCCACTCACCATTGGTCTGCTGAATGTGATATTAAAGTAGGGATGCAACGAGAGCGCCACTTCACTGCCAATGCCATGTGTGATGAAACTTTAAGCTTGTACTTGCAACACATGAACCAAACGTTATAGTGAGTTTTCCTGTGCAGGGACTGTTTTATTTAAAATGTATCTAATTGCTCGTTTAATTTTTAACTCTTTCGGCCTCATCCTAGCCAAAGCAGTGGGTGTTGAGCACATGTTAGTTGACTTGGCAAATGTCTTAACTGAAGTAGTTAATTTTTTCTGACATTATACGATTGTGCATCATTTGTCAGGGATAATTATTGTCTAATGGCACTAATGAATGTTTGTGTACCTGTTTTCAGTGCTAAGACCAGACAAGGGGCACTGGATGGGCTTAAGACGGCAATGGCCACACGGATCCTGTATGAGTTCATCTCGGAAAGAAGGATGACCATCACAGACAGCATTGAACGATGCCTCAAGAAAGGTACCACAAAAGAAAATTAAAGATATTTCAGTCCGGTTTAAACCCAGTGACATATTTTCTGTAGTCGAACATGCAAGTCATTTTATTTCTGTAGGCTCTGATTGTATGTTTAAATCTCCTAATGCCAATTTCACCCTAGATTTTAAGTTAATTCCCACCTCTCTCTATGTCAGGCAAAGGCGAGGAGCAGCGAGCGGCAGCTTCTTTAGCCTGCCTGCTGTGTATCCAGCTGGGCTCGGGCATCGAGAGCGAGGAGGTGTTCAAGACCCTCAAACCCATCTTCAAAAACATCCTGGCAGATGGATCAGCCAACATACAAGCCAGACAGGCAGTGAGTACCTGATATCATCTGTGGCAGAGCAGCACACTGTACCTGCTACTATGTGGTTATCTGTTTCTTTTTTTTGAAGCATGTGTCTATCCTGTGGAAAGTCAACTAAACCAATCTTTCCATTTCTCTAATAGGTGGCGACAAGTCTGGGCCTCTGTACTTTAGTCGCAGAAGATGATATTTTGGTGAGTTCTTGATCACTTTTGGTGTCTTTTCCTGCTTTTTCAAACCTTGGATTAAGGGCAAGTAACAGTGATGTCTCTTCCACAGCATTTTTGTAAGTTGTTTGTGCTCATTATCGGTTGTAACATTGTGCCTCATTCGGGCTTAACATTAGTGTTGTCAACAGTAGTGGCAGCTGAACTCAAACGTGCCTCAATGAATTACTCCTGAAGTCATAAACATGTTTGTGATGACTGGTGTTGTATTTCTATTTTAAACACTTTTTTTTCTTTTTAATTTTTTTGCACTACAACCTCCAGTCTTCATTTTATGCTTGCTACTTCCTGCTTTAGGACGTGCATGCTACCATGGAGTGCTTTGAGAACCTGTTCACCCGGTCCTATGCTAGGGTGGATGGAACCTGTCCTCTGATCAGTCCCCAGACAAGCCAGCTCCACACCAACGCCCTGCTGTCCTGGGCACTGTTGCTCACCATCTGCACTGCCAACCAGCTCAAAGACGTCCTGCACAAGTAAGACTCGCTCCCGCTGTCAAGTCTACAAGTTTACCTCAACCACACATTTTATTTAACTGAAACACCGATCCAGATTTAAAAAAAAAAAAAAAAGTTTGAATGCATCGGTCTTGTTGTACAGACACCTGCCTAAACTGCCAAGATTGCTGGAAAGTGAGGATGTCAACATGAGAATTGCTGCAGGGGAGACCATTGCCCTGCTCTTTGAGCTGGCCAGAGACATGGACTCTGTAAGTCAACAGCCACGCTGTGTTTTCACAGGATCTGCCTGTCACTTGTGTAGTGCAGTCAACTTTTGGGACTAAATTATTGTTAGTTTTTTTTTTTTTTTTTTGTGCCTTAAATTGCATGTTAACTTGACTGTCTGGCTGCATTTAATAACCTGTTCCTTTATGTATATGCATCCGTCCAGTGTGATGTCTCTCTTTTTCCTTGGGACATGAATGCAGCATCTTTCGGTGTCTTCTTTCAGGAGTTTGAGTTTGATAACTGGGAGGAACTGTGCGACAAACTGAACGCGTTGGCCACAGACTGTAACAAGCACAGAGCCAAGACGGACAAGAGGAAGCAGCGGTCGGTGTTTCGGGACGTCCTGAAGGCTGTCGAGGTGGGTGTTGACGTCACCTTGGTTTGTTACGTTTTAATTTACATTTTATGTGCTTCTTCCGAGAGCGACAAGTTAAGTTGTCTGGTTGATCTGTATTCTTCCAGGAAGGTGACTTCCAGCCTGAGAACATTCGTTTTGGGACAGAGCGCATGACCATTGATAGCTGGGTCAGAAAGAGGACTTACGATGCTTTCAGAGAGTTTGTGGGCTCTGGGATGAATTACCACCTACAGGTGTATATATATTTTTTTTCTAAGTTGTTAAATATTGGTGGAGCATTGCATAAACCTGAGTCGACGACAACCTCATAATTTAAATCCATGCGAGTCGACATTTTAACTTAATTGCGCTGCCGAAGCATGAGGTTGCGGTTGTTGGGTTGGATGATGTGTAACGGGAGCATGACACGGCACTAAAACACAGTGGAGATCTGTGGGTCTGCCCAATGCAGGATGACAACACTTACAACTTGATTTAGGATAATGTTGCGTTATGTAGAAATAACAAGCCATTACAAGTAGCTGGTTGGAAAGCAGTCTGGCTGGCAGCCAGCGCTAATGGAAAACTGCAACATCTCTCAAGAAAAGATGAGACAATGGAACATATTTCATATCAAGCACTGTAAGCAGTATCTAAAAGTGGCCAACTACTGTTGTATAGATTTTGTATTTTGCTTGTATTGTCTTACGCTGATGGTTGGTAGAAGTTCTTAATGCGTTTCTTTCTTTGTTTCTCTCCTAAACAAGGGTAATGAGTTCATCAGAGATGTGTTTGAACTGGGACCACCCATGCTGGTTGATTCCGCCACAATGAAGGCCATGAAAATCTCTCGCTTTGAAAGGGTATGTGTACAAGTTATTCAAACCATGGCATTGTGGTTTTGTCATTTGCTACATTAAACGTACTGTACATACTTGTAGCTTTTGTATTAAGTTTTTCCCTCTTCCCTTTTCCAGCATCTGCACAACTCTGCTGCGTTCAAGGCGAGGACCAAGGCCAGAAGCAAGTTCAGGGACAAGAGGGTGGATGTGGGAGAATTTTAACAAATCTATTTTTTTCTGTCTTTTTTTGACTCTAATAACATTTATCAGGCGTCCCTGCTTTTTAGATCAATTGTCACGACTTTGTGTCACCCTCCTATGAAATCCTTCTTTTGATTACCAAACTCACCCTCTGCAGAGTTGAAGGGTGGATTTGCTCTGTAGCGCACAGAAGTTTCCCTTTTTCAGCCACCTTTCAAAGCTGCAGGAGGTGAGCATTTTGATAATCAAACAATAGATTTTGTATAGCGAGAGTATAACTTTAATGTATCCACACATTAACAGTGGTGTTGTACATACAGTGTATATTTGGTCTGTCCTCATGTTAATATTCATCATGTGGCCTTTTTATTTGAATATATGTAATAAGTTATATAACTTAGCCAGCATTTGTCTTTGCACCATGTACTTCTGTTTAGTTCATAGCAATGTCAAAAACATGTTGTGACTGTCATAACCCTTTTCTTATTTAAGTTGCACTACCTTGTTAACCCATAGCAGGTTATTTCCAGTGAATATTGTGTTGTCTTTTTAGTATTGGGTATGTAATCTAAAGGGCAAGGATGGTGAAATAAACACTGAAAAGCTATAAGAAGGGTAGCTTTCATTTTTGCTCATGTTTTTTATACGATGCTGTTAACTGACTCACTTAAAGTGATGCTAGCTGCCTAAGATCAGTTGACTGATTCATCTGATTGAATGTTTTGGAACCCCCGATCCCTCGCTCGAAGCATAATTTCCCCATTGTTGGAAGTAAATAAAAATGGCAGTAGGTTTTGGGGAAGTGGCTTGAAACTAAACTGGAAGAGAATTTAGCAAGTGAGTTTTTGGCTTCAATTTCAACTCCTGGCAGATATATGGAGGTCATTTTGAGCGAATGGGCAGTACAAATCTTATTTATTGCGACTTGAACATATCAAAGGCAGTGATCTTGCAGCCAGGGTGACTGAGTAGTACACTCTGCCTGTATCCTCCTACACAGACATGACTCTCTGTGATTGCACTTCATGGGTTATTGATAAAAGCTGGTCAGTAAAGCTATTGAGGGAGCACCAGGAAATGATGGAACATGCATTGTACACATTTACTCCCCAAGGTCCCACTCATAGGCCATTGCTTTTACAGTAGCCAATATCACATGCTAGAGGTAAACGTCACAAAGCTACAAATAGTCCCATCAATAACGTCGGCCTGTTACCCAGGAGCTTGGAGCACACGTAGACATCCTGCAATCGATGCACCCGTTCAGCACCCCCCTACCTCGGGTGAAACAATATTGCCTTCAGGAGGAAGCAGCAACCTGGACCTGATATATTTTTCGTGGCCTGGCCTGGCTTGCTCCTGTATAGCATAGCCCTGTTTAAGCACAGAGGAGTCTCCCCGCTATATGTCCCAGTAAAACACTGACATTTTCCTGTAATATATATAATGTCAGTTTTTAAGTACTGGTGGACTACCCATTTCCTGCATTTAAATTATAGAAATGTTTTTTTTCTTGCACTGTACACAATCTCTGGCGTATTCTACCAATTTTTCTTCTAATGTTTAGTCTAATGCCTAAGACTTGGGTGTATTTTAGTTGTGACATTTCCTTTGCGTGCTTTCTGAATTGCTTCAGATTAGACACATTACCCAAGTTTGCAGATCTTGGTAGAGTAATTTTATAATTTTAATCTCACTTTGATTACTGGGATCATGCTGTCTACATCTCCCTGCCTCAACATTTCATGGCTCCTTTTAAATACACTCTTTTTTAAAAAAATTTTATGTAACTTTGTTTTCATTGTATCACTTTAAAATTCTTTTTGTGAAACCTTTTTAACTGTCTGACCCGCAGTATCACCTCCTAGCCCTCCCTCTTCATCAAACCCCCAAATCTATAGGATAAGTGTGAGACAAAATGTGTCTTGGACTGACTGCCACAGCCAAATGGCATGCTGTAAAATTCTCGTGTCTTTTTCCATTTCTCTCACAGGAGAAATTGGGGAAATGACAGGGCAGAATTTAAATAGGAAGTTGCGGGTGGCATATCTGCAACTATCTGACACTAGTGGTTGACTTGATACTCTTGGGTTTAGACTGTTCCTCTTTCTGTGAAAGGCAAACTGAGGGGTCGACACAACCTCTGATTGTTCCTGGACCAGTAAAACCCTTGTAAATGGAGAGAGGGAACTTCACTTATTCCCTCTGTGTGGCTCATACAGCAGAGAGGTAATTGCACTTGTTAAACACATTTCTTAAACATTTTGATCCCAGTGGGTTTATTCTGATCAAAAGGCAAATCCTAAAATTGGACTGGCAGTTACTGATTACACAGTCTTTCACCTCTTGAATGTGTGTTATTTTTTTTTTATTTTTTATTTTTTTCCAATTCGTTTGGAGGATGCAGTTTAAGCATGGCAACTGTAATTTTTAGGATTTGTAGGCTTTGGGCTTTCAAAGAAATCCCCTTTTAGGAATTTGCTTTGCCTCAATCCTTTTCCAAGGCTCTGTACTGTGCAGACTTTGTCAGTTCAATCTAATAGACATGAACCCCATGGGCCTACTTCATGGTGGATTAATATATAAAATGATTTAAAAAAAGGAAAAAAAGGAAAACCAAACTTGCACAGACTGCCTTTGTAGGTGGTTACATTAGAAATATAAGCCATATTGCAGGGCTGAGTCAGGTTTAAATTGTATAAGATAAAAAATAATTGAGTACTCCACAGATTTAACATTGCTCTTCTATAACATGGACAAAAAGGACAGTTAAAAAATAAATAAATAAATAAATATAGAGGTCTGGTAAGCTAAGTTCTGTCAACCTCCACACCCCCAACCAAACTAATAAATTCTGCCTAATGCGATATCACTTGAGGCAATTTATTGTTGCTCCATTTGAAGCCACAAAGGCATTTTTTGGTCCACTTGGGGGCAGCAAATAGTTGTAAACACAACACTGACATAATCACTTTTGTATGACGAGCGTCTAGCAAACAGATGCTTATTTAAACATTGAAAAGACACAAAATAATCGACCCTGATGACAAAAGTGAGAGTGAACCAAACCAGTAAAAGTTGTGGGCCATAAAACCCTGACAATGAATTTAAAGATGCTAAAAGGCCCCAGGGAGCTGAGGGGAACAGATAATTCTCTGTGCGTTCATCACTACTAGCAGCCTGTCTCACATACAAGTAATCATTTAATCCATTGTTAATCTAAAAATATTGATTGCAGCAGCTTTAAATCCGATTAGTCACTGTTTACTTACAAATGTAATACTTGCTATTAAAAACTATATTAGTTTCAGTGTTGATTTTCTGGACAGAGAACAAATTTATCCCAGGATATATGGCTTCTCTGTAAATAAACATTATCATTTGATTAGATCCTCTTTATCTTTGGCATAGTCAGGCAGGTAGAAACCAATGTGCAGAATGCTAATGAACCATTGTTAATATTCATATTTCATCACAGTCTGTTGTTTGCAAAGAAAAACCATCACCACGCAATTAAGAAGGATAAATGAGGATCAAAGGAGTAAGAGATGTGATAGGGTATCTTTAATTTAATCAATAATTAGCTTCATTTGTGTGTCGTTATGTGCTCAACGCAATTTACAAGACTGAGTCCTCTGACTGTTCCATCGACTTACTGGATAAGCGGTTCCTGCTGTGAGGTCTTGTTGTGTGCAAGTTAAGAAAACGCTATGGAAACTGCAGTGTGCTTGAGGAGATGTGGAACAAAACAGAATACAATTTGTCATTGTGGTGGGTGGAATTTGTCCGGTGGGTGTATGGAGGAGCAAAACGATGAAAGAAAATACACCTGCAATCTCTTCTCCTGTTGTACGCTTCTACTGATTGTTGCCACTGACTGTTTGATATCACTGTTATGGAAATGAGCGTTCTGTTTCAGCTAACTGACCTTTCAAGGCGATACATTTGAACTGGGAAGCCTTTTATTTTCTCTCATCTAAGTTAATGCGTTGTAATATTGCATTGTGTTTGATTAGCTGCAACACATAGACACTCTCAGACACTCATTGCCATGGCTGGTTAGGCATCCCTTGTTGAGTTTAACTTTCCATTCATCGTGCCACTCATTGGTAGCAAAAAGGGCCTGAAGCCAAACCACTGAGCATGTGTGGCAGCCTCACACACACACACACACACACACACAGACGGGCCTGTTTAAACACACACACACACATACCCTCCAGATGGATGCTTTTCAATAGCTAACCAGGTTAATGTATTTATTCCACTTGTGTGCTTCTGGCGTCTCAACAGCTGTTACTGTAGCACCCACTATAGATCAGCCTGTTTCTTTGCAAATGTCTGATGTTGACACTAGTGTGCCACCCACATATACTTCCCTCCCCTCCTCCTCCTCCTCCTCCTCCTCCTCCCTCCAACATCTCCTTTTCCTGGCCCCAGTTGCTCCCTGAAGCAAGGCGTATACAGTAGCTATCACGATGAAAAATGGATGGGGAGATTAGCGGCACTTTGTCACCGAATGAGTGTTGTGTGTTCTCTGTCCCAACACGCCAAGGGGCTTGTTGTTGTGACTGATAAAATGGCTGCAGCCTCTGATGACTGCAATTATGCTGCATACATATATCAAGAGACTGATTTATCCCGCTCTCTGTCACCTTCTGGCGTTGATGTGCCACAAAGTGACTGCAATACACTGAAAATTCCTCAAAATGATTTGTTCTTCAGTTTTGGACGATGAAAGCTTGTTTTTGTTTGTGTGACGGGGGTCCCTGGGGTGAACATCATGTAGCACACACACACTTTGAGGATAAAAACATGATAACCTTGGAGACAACGACTGTATGTGAGCATGCTGACCGCCTAGATGTATCTTACTTAACCCGACCACATACTGAGCTGCAGCATCACCATAGAGACAGACGATGGATGGTTTTCCATTATTTAAGATATTGCACACATCACATAGTCACCATGAGAATAAATGATTTGTTTGTTAGGTACTTATTTACACGTCCGCACGAAATGTTAAGTGCGAGGAGTGAGAAATGTTAATGTGTCTACTTATGATGGAAGACGTGGAGAAAATTGGCAGGCTCCCAGGAGAAAGATATTAGCTGTTTTTCAAAGTGCAGCATATTGAGCCATATATCTTTGGTCATACACTGAGCCTGTTTTCTTACAACCAACGTCTGTGCTGCAGTCCATGTTTAATGCATAGCGACTCATGTTCCATAGAGTCACACTTATGACCTGCAGCCTGACTTCTTCCATTGAGGTCCCGTATCTTGGCACATTCAACAGAGAAAAGCTGGAGACGAGGGGACAAGGTTTTATTCTGCAAGTGTGTTAGTGGATTAGTTTGTTGCCCACACCTCTGGCACCCATTAAAAAGTAAGCTTTCCATGCATCAAATTTTGGGGAAACTTACAGTTTCTAGTCATGGTTTTAGATTTAGATTTAGGTAGCCTATCGGACGTTTTTTGGGTTTTTTATGCCTCTCTTTTTGATAGGACAGGTGAAGGGAAGAGAGAGGGGGGACGACATGCAAAGGGTCACAGGTCGAATTCGAACCCAGACCGCTGAAGCAAGGACTCAGCCCACTGGTGCCTC